TCCCATGCCAAAATGGACTAGAGAAGTGCTAGAAAGAGAGCGGTATGAGACATATGATACAGCTGGAGATATCACAAAGAAGGTTAAAATGGAGGTTCCAGACTTTGAAGGTAAAGTTAATCTTATGCTATTTTCTGATTGACTTGCTTCCATCAAGGAATACTTTGATTGGTTTAATATGATTGACGATCGATGAGTGAGATTTGCTAAGATAAAACTTGTGGGATTAGCAAAAATTTGGTGGACAGGCATTGAAGGTGATATTAGGCGATTGAGACAACCACCAATTAGTCCATGGGAAGAGATGAAAGCTAAACTTCAGGAGAGGTATATGCCAGCAAATTACCATGAAAGTTGTGTGAGCAACACATGGAATTAAAGCAAAATAGCATGTCGGTGGCCGCATATATACAAAAATTTGATGAACTTAAAACAAGGAGTCAAGTGATGGAAGATCCAAGTCAAACTCTTGCACGATTCAAAATGGGTTTAAGGCCAGATATAAGGAGTGAGCTGCTTCGTCAACCCTTGTACAGTCTTGAACATGCTTTCTAGGTTGTTTTGGATATGGAGGAGTATTTAAAGTACCCAATTACGAGAAAGTTTGGGTTTCAAGCTTGGGAGATAACATCAAAGAAGTACAATGATGCAAGTAATTTTCGGAACAATGGTTCTAAGCCATCTTCTGAAAACATGGCTGACCCAAAAGGCAAAGCTCACCCACCCAACAAATCGGGAGAAAAGGAAAACAGGTGTTTCAAATGTGGGGTGACAGGTCACATGGCGTTTCAATGCCCAAAGAGAAACTTATATATGGGAGTGGAGCATAATGAGGAACCTGACCAACAACACCATGAGGATGAGGAAAAATCGTTTGATGTTGGGGTCTTCAATACTGATGATTTAGAAGACGAAGAGATTGACACTTCATTGATTTCGGTTGTTAGGCGTATCCTTGCAGCCCCTAAAATTGAGAAGGAAGATTGGAAGCGCACTTCTATTTTCTAGAAGCTGGTTTGTTGTGGAGATCAAGCCCGTAAGCTTAATATTGACGGTGGTAGTTGCATGAATGTTATATCATCATCCATGGTTGAGTGCCTCAAGCTTCCCATTCAACCACATCCTCAGCCACATAAGGTAGCTTGGATTGACAACACTTCTATCCTGGTAACTCAACAATGCCTTGTCTCTATTTCTTCCAGTTCCTATAGTGATTCTATTTGGTGTGATGTGATTCCTATGAAAGTTACTCACATCCTCCTTGGAAGGCCTTGGTTTTATGATAGATATGTACATCACTGTGGGAAACAAAATACATACTCTTTCTCATTTAACAACAAAGAGATTGTTTTGAAGCCATTGACTACAGCTAAAATGGAGAAATTCAAAGCAAAGAAGCCGAAGGATGATGTTGATGTTAAGCCAAAGTCCCTTCATGTTCTCACCAAGAAGCGCTTTCAACTGGAAAGCATGGAATCGGGGGTCATATATGTTGTGGTGATGAAAGAAGTATAAAAAACAAAAGTGCAATACCACCGAAGGTGACTGAACTGCTATCTCACTTATCTGATGTTGCACCTGAAGAGCTACCAAATGGACTTCCTCCAATGCACAATGTCCAGCATGCAATAGACCTCAGACCTCGTTCCAGGGTCACAATTGTCTAATCTTCCAGCCTATCGCATGAATCCAAGTGAACATGCAGAGCTTAAAAGGCAAGTAGATGAGCTATTGTCCAAGGGATTTATTTGTGAAAGTTTAAGCCATTGTGTTGTTCCCGCATTGCTCATTCCAAAAAAAAGATGGCAGTTGTCGCAAGTGTGTTGACAGCCGTGCTATAAACAAGATCACAATCAAATACCGATTCCCCATTCCAAGGCTTGATGATATGTTGAATATGTTGGCTGGTTCTTGCAAATTTTCAAAGATAGATCTAAAAAGTGGATACCATCAAATACACATAAAATCAAGAGATGAATGGAAGATAGCTTTCCAGACAAGGGATGGCCTCTATGAATGGCTAGTCATGCTATTCGGTCTTACAAATGTCCCTAGTACCTTCATGCGCTTTGACACAGGTATTGCAGCCATTTATTGGTCAATTTCTGGTTGTCTACTTTGATGATAGTCTAATATATAACAAGACCAAGGAAGAACACATATTTCATCTTCAACAAGTTTTGAGAGTTCTCTGTCACGAGAAGCTCTACATAAATTTAAAGAAGTGTTCTATTTTTAGGCTTTGTTGTTTCATCTAAAAGAGTGGAGGCTGATACAAGCAAGGTGAAAGCCATTCTAGATTGGCCAATTCCTAGTTCCTTGCATGAAGTACGAAGTTTTCATGGTTGACGACTCTTTATTGTCGCTTTATTAGAAATTTCAGCACAGTTATGGCACCTAACCAACTGTATGAAGGTGGGACAGTTTGTTTGGACCAATGCAACAACAAAGGCCTTTGAAAAAATAAAGAAAATGATGACTGAAGCTCCTGTACTACACCTTCCTAATTTCTCAAAGGTGTTTGAGGTGGCTTGCAATGCATCCCATGTTGGGATTGGAGGTGTACTTACTTAAGAAGTGCACCCGGTTGTTTACTTCAGTGAAAAGCTCAACGAAGCCAAGTAAAAGTACTCTACCTATGACAAGGAATTCTATGCCGTAATACAAGCACGTCGGTATTGGCGCCACTATCTTCTTGTTAAGGAGTTTGTGTTGTATTCCGACCATAAAGCACTCAAATACATTAACTCCCAAAAGAAATTGAATCATCGCTATATGGTAAGTGGGTTTCATTTGAGCAAAACTACTCTTTGCTATCAAATATAAGGCTGGTTATGAGAATAAGGCACTTAGCCGAGTGGTGTATGTTCTTTCTTTCATGGCTATACAAGTTGTGGGTTTTGATTTGCTCAAAAGGGACTATCCTTCTTATAAGGATTTCAGAGTTATATTTGCTAAGTTATTGGGCTGAACAACAGGGAAGATATGATAATTTCTCTTACATGACGGCTACCTCTTCAAGGGAACCCGATTTTGCTTACCCAACACTTCTCTTCGTGAACAAGTGATTTGGGAATTACATTTTGAAGGACAGCAGGTCATTTTGGAAGAGATAAGATAGTTGCAATGACTGAAGATTGCTTTTATTGGCCAAAGCAGAAGCGGGATGTAGCCAAGGTAGTTTCGCAGTGTCGAACTTGCCAACTTTCAAAAGGAAGAAAGAAGAATACTGGTTTATACACCCCACTACCTGTGCCACACGAGCCATGGCAGAAGTTAAGTATGGATTTTGTCCTTGGATTGACCAGAACCCTTCGAGGACACAACTCCATTTATGTGGTTGTGGATCGTTTCTCAAAAATGACTCACTTTATTCCTTGTTCGAAGGCATCCGATGTTATTCACATTGCTAAGCTTTTCTTTAAAGAAGTTGTTCGTCTTCACGGATTACCTCGAACTATTATATATGATCTTGATGTGAAGTTCGTAAGTTATTTTTGGCACACTCTATGGAAGTTGCTGCATACAAGGCTGAAGTTTTCTTCCGCTTTCTATCTGCAAACTAATGGTCAAACAGAGGTTGTCAATCGCAGTTTGGAAGACCTACTTCGCTGCCTTGTCGGAAATCATGTTAGTAGTTAGGATCAGGTACTTCCTATGGTTGAATTTGCATATAATAGTTCTATCAACAAATCTATTGGTCGCAACCCATTTAAGATTGTTACAGGTTTGCTTCTTAGAAAACCAATTGATTTGGTTCCGTTACCTATCGAGGCTTGCCCAAGTGCCAAAACTGAAGCCTTTAGCAAGCATATTTCTGATATACATGCTGAGGTTCAACGAAAGATTGCCATAAGCAATGAGAGCTACAAACGACATGCTGATTTGAGGAGAAGGTTTGCTAAATTCGAGGAAGGAGACATGGTTATGGTCCGAGTGAGGCCTGAGCGGTATCCTAAAGGTGGTTATAAGAAGCTTCATTCAAACAGTACTGGTCCATTTAAGATTGTCAAGAAAATTAGCTTCAATGCTTATGTTCTTGACTTACCTGAAGATATGGGCATCAGTAATGTCTTCAATATTGAAAACCTTACTAAATACCCTGGACACACTGAAAATGGTGTACACCCTGATCCAGTTACTTCTCTACCACAAGCCACATATTTAAGGGATGAAATTGAAGACGTGATTGATCATCAGATTGTTTCAACTAGAAGTGGTGGTTATCAGAAATATCTCATTAAATGGAAGGGGCGTCCACTTTTAGATTGCACCTAGAATACCGACGAACAGTTCCAAAACTTCAACTTGATCTTTATGAAAAATTTCATACTTTTAACTCACCAGGGTCAAGTTCTCTCAAGTCAGGGAGAGTTAATGAAAAATGACAACGTCCAACAAAGGTGTATAAAAGACGTGGGTTGGATGGTTCTAAGGCCCAAGCCTTAATTTGGCATATGTTGGATGATGTTGGGCCCACTTGGGATATTGACTAGATATGGGATGATTTCTAAAAGTCTGTATGACTTTTCATTTGTCTTATGACCTTTCATTTAGTTACATTAACCACAAATTTTCTATGCATGTACCCAAAGATTCATTCATCTAGTTTTTTGGGAGTTGAAAAGTTTCAACATTAACTAGTTTCTGAAGTCTTATATATTGATATAACTTCAAAATTTTGAAGTATGATGAATGAATATATGAAATTTTCAAAAACTTTTCTAAACTTCTAAGATTGTGTGATACAATCCTTTCTTTGGTGTGATGCTAAAGAGCCCCTAGGTGAGATGTCTTGGGTTTTTAAGTGTAAGGCTTAAAACTATCTTCTCTTTCTTCTAATTCTTTTTTTTTGCTTTATATGTCCCTCTACTGTTCATCTATTGTTCACATACTGTTCGCAGTCCCCTAAACAACCCTTAAACAATTCCTGTTTTCAATATTTTCTCTTTTCTTAGCTGTCGTCCAATTCTGTCATACATCAATTAGATATTTCTGACCTAATCAAATACCACTGTCGGAATCCCATATAGTGCATATCTAGATCTAGTTTCCTTAAACACAATTGATGTAGAAAACATGAATGCACCAAAAAAAAGACTTTAAGGTAAATAAAAAACTACAGTTTCAACCAAAAAAAAAGTAAGAAACTACCATAAGAAAAATATATACCTAACCATTGTGCCCATTGTGCAATTAAATTAGAGAAAATAAACGTCCAATGGAGATGTTCCTTCCTTCGTTCATCATCCCAAATGTCTGCAAGAGTGTCTCCCTACAACTCATATAAACCAATCAAATGACCAAATGCATTTACAACTATCATCAAATTTTTAAAAAAATCAGTAAGGAAGCAAAAAGAGTCTGAAACTACCTCCGAGCGTGCATCATCATAACCATTATTTCCAAGCAAAGGTTCGTTCAAAGCATCCATCCCTGCGGCCTCCAAATGCTCATGCTTTTTTCCGTCAACATCCCCATGGTGGAGTCGTCTCCTCAATGTTCGTGATGTCATGAGTTACAATTGTCAGTATCCTTACACTGTATAATTACTGTATCACAGTAAACCGCATAGTTAACAGAAAATATAGCATTCCTTCCTGGGAAAAAAAACAAAAAATATAGTCAGGAGAAAATATTCATTACAACGGTGATACCAAGATAAATAAGCAAATGAATCCACAAAAGATAATAACCAACTTGTCGTATAATTAAATAACTCCCACTCTTTCTTCATGCAAGGCCAAGTGGTGTTCACCTTACCCACTTGGAGTTTTATTATTGGTTGGAGATATCATATCATTTACTCATGAGGATTGAATATAGTTCATCTAGTTGACCCCATATAGCACGGAACAGGCTTTGTTGCAAGTTTATCTAATGATTTTTTTTCCAAGGCCCAGTTCAAGATATCTTAGGCACAGGAATTAGTGCCACACAACTCCTTCAATTTTGCCAGAAGATCTGCTGACAAAGCTGCTCAATAGCTTGCTGCACAAGGTCCCCGCCTATACCATGCAGTTAACAGGAGGCTAGAACTGATCCTGTATTAGAGCTCATCTGTTTAGAGGATTTCTAGCCCTCTGACAGGGATAACCCTGGATTCTTACTCTGCTTTTATCTCACTATATTGGACTGGAATAGGACGCATCATTGGTGATTGTCGGACAACCCTAAGTTTGGCTCTATTTTAATCATCCATTAGAATGACCGAACATTTTAATAGTTGTTTTAGGGTATATAAACCATGTCACATGCAATTTTACAGGATATTTTGTCTAGATTTCACTCTTCTAAGCCTCCAATTAGCTGATCACCGTTAAGATTATCATCAAAACTGAATGCATATCACAATTATATGCCTACATCAACATTTATTAAAAAAATTAACTACAAGCGCCTTCCTTGAGCTTTATATTTAATCATTAAATTCAATACAAAAAATAACGAACGGGAAAGGTAGATAACAGGAAGAGAAAAAGAGATGATGATACGATGACGACGACGACGAACCGGATCTGGGTGACCAGAGAGAGGAGCGCTGAGGAAGTCCAACCCCAAATAAAACCCTTCTTCTTTTCTCTCTCAAATCTTTACCAAGCCCGAGACAAGCAATGTTGTTCAGATTTCCGTAGAGACTCGTCACGTTTTTAACGTAGACTTATTAAAGTTTTCAATAGACGAACTCCTGGCGTTTAAAAAATCATGTTTTAACTTTTTAGTGGTGCGATCGGTAATATTTTTATGTTTATGTTTTTTTTTTTTTTAGAATAAAAATTAAAAATATAAAATATATTTGATAGTCATTTATATTTAAAAAATTATAAAAATAAAATAAAAAATATGTTTGGTATTATATTAAAAATTTACCACCAACCACCAAACATTCAACGACCAATCCCCATCTCTTGAAACTCAGCACCACCCAACCCCACCACCATCTTCGATACGCACCACTACCCCCTGAAACCCACGCCCCATTCCCGAAACCCACCCCAATACCCTGAAACCCGCAGCCACCCAACCCCAACCCCATCACTTGAAATCCATAGCCGGGTCCCTTATCCCTGAAAATTCACAGCCACCCAAACCCACCCCCATCCCAGAAACCCACCCCAATTCCCTGAAATCCACAGCCACCCAACCCACCCCCATCACTTGAAATCCACAACCACCCAACCCTCCCCCATCCCCAAAACCCACAACCACCCAAACCCATTACCATCCCCAAAACCCACCAGCTCTCAAACCTGCCCTCATCCTCGAAAACCCCCCACCACCCTACCCCCCCCCACCACCACCAACAAATCCCATCACCACTACCAAAAATCACCACCACTTTCCAAAATTCATCACCACCATCAAAATAGAGAAGGTAGAGAGAGAGAGAGCGATAGAGAGAAAGGGAGATCTGAAGAAAAAAGAAGTGAAAGTCTTCTTATATTCTCAAGCAAGAAAATTTTTTTGTTGTTGTTGCTAAGAGGGATCGAAACCCAGATCTCATTAACTTCCCTTTTAAACGCAGTTTGATTTTTTTTTTTGATGTTTTTATATTTTAGTCTTGTTTTCAAAACAAAGTAATTAAAAAAAACGAAGACAATCACCAAACGTGTTTTTGTTTTTTTTTTGGCTATAAAATGAAAAGAAAAACAAAAACACATGGTTTTCCAAAACACTACCTTACTTATCTTTATTGAATTAAATAAATAAATAACAGAATTAACAAAACACATATTACTTTAGCCCTTAATTATCTCAAGTTTTACCAAGTAAACTATCGACAGTCCCGTGCCATGCACGCATGCGCGGAACTTCCTTCTTTTTCTCTACTCACAATGCACTATTGAGTTATACTTGAATATATTTAAAAATTATTATAAAAAAATTAATTTATATTTTTAATTCTTTTGAATAATAAATTATGTATTGAATAATTAAATATTATTTTAATTAGTGCTAAATTTAGTTATTAATCTATTATATCCCTTTAAGTACCTAATCTGTTATTTTTTAAGATATATTTTCAGTTTCTTTAAATATATTTTTTTTTGTTTATAATGGAGTTTCATTGTAAAACTTGTAATTGTCTGTGCTTAAAAACATCAAGTTTCTCATACAAAAATTACAAACATTTGTTCATGTATAAATATAAATGTATGACAAATTTCAACAAATAACGATTAAAATGAAGCTAAGAAAAATTAGATAAATCTAAACAGCGAAAAATAAGTCATTTGTTATGTTTAGAGAACTTTCATCACCTTAAAGGCATTGTGTAACCAAAAAAAAATGACAACTAAGAAATAGGCAATAGCAAGATAAAAGTAACACAATGCATTCAGGAGCCTGAATAAGTTTTTAGGCCTAATAAATTTAAAAAATTGATAGAATTTCCTCTAAAAATACTACCCAAAAAAAATCTCACCCTATTTACACAATTAGATATTTTCATAAATATCTTAAAAAAGTGACTATATACATCCTAAACTCAAATCAAAGCTCGTAAAATAAACATCAAATCAAATCAAGCTCACATGAAGTAGAATAATTGATTTAGTCCATCAAACTTTGGGAGAAAACTGTAATGTCAAAAGCTAACTCACATAGAATAATTATGACAAAAGCCAGAAGTAATCCAAATTATTCACCAAAATAATTCTAGAACTGAAAAAAGAATACTTCCTAAACTTCAACACTACAAATTGTTGAAAACAATAGCCAACGAATCAAAATTAAGAGGATCTTCTTGGAATAACCTCAACTACAAATCCCTCTTCATCATGGAAATGATTCCTACGAAAGTTAAGGACATACTTCAACTTAAATTTCATACAGGAATCCATAAGTAATTTAATTTTGAATCCTTGTCATTGAAGCATATTACAAATTAAAAAACTAACTAAAAAGCTTCACTCCTTAAATTTGATGCTTTATAGCCTGTAAAACAGAGAATTTGCGAATAAATAATAAATAACATTCTCCCTCAAAAGAACAAACCATCGTAGAAGCATAATATATCCAAGATCGATGCAAGTGATCAAAAGAAATCTAAATGACCACGTATTACTACAACTACAAATATCATCAATGGAAGACGTTAATACCATACCAAAACTATCAAACTCACCTAAAAAGTTAAATGGAAGATGTTAATACCTTAAGGGTGTGTTTACTTTAGGTATTAGGAAAGAGGAATTGAAAAAAATAATGTCGCGTCCAACTTATCCCTCTTATACATATGTTTGGATACAAATTTTAGACCCAGTATTATTACTTAGAAATAATACCGCCCCGAATGAATAGTATATTTAATACTATCTACATCCTCTTAAATAAAACCCACTTTTTTAGTGGGTTTAAATAATCCGGTTGGATATATTTGGATAAAAGACATTTTTACTCTCAAAAATCTCTAGGATATAAACATCACTCTTTATTTTGAGGGTTCTTTAATAATTTAATGTTTATACCATCATTTAATACTCTATCCAAATAACATATTAGATGTGATAAATATGGGCCCCACTACTTCTTAATATTTGAACTAAACTTGGAATGAGAAGGCATTATCATTATCATTATAATTAGTCCAAGGGCTGAATTGCCATAGATTGTTTGCCAAACACAGCCTAACATAACTATCACTCCCCCCATAGATGTAATATGTACAAACAACCATCAGTTTTTAATAAATCTAAGAATAAGAAATGTAAATAGAAAGATAAACATATAATACGATTGAATTAATAGTGATATAGTGAATTGGGCAATTGTTGTGTGAGGCTAAAAGTTCAAAAACTGATACTACATGTGGTTAATTCATTTTGGCAACCAAATAAGTTTTCAATGAAACCATAATCGTAATCCAAAAGAAATTGCAATGATTTAGAATTTGTGATACATCGTATGGGCTTTGTCTATTGTAGTAACTTCATTGAGTTGAGGTGGTGGACGGAGGAGGGCAGTTCCAATAACCCCTGATAATGATGGGATCTTAGGTATGGGCCACCATGGTCCAAGAGCCAATAAGTTTAGGAAACCCTTGCTTACATAATGGCTCAAAGGAAGCGCCCACAGCTTGCCCACATCAAGAGTAAAGAGGGACGAGCCCAAATGACAAAGCCCAACAGCACCAGAAGACTTGCGATCCAACCTAACCCCAATCCAATCCAGCCAAAGGACAACCAAAGATAAAAAATTCCAACCCAATGCAAAGTCTGGAACATTCCCGCAGCGCCATGTGTCTTGAGGGCAAATGGACCACCTCTGACAACCATGACAATCATGCACTCTTTGATACAAAGGGTGTTGGTGCGCATAATCATCCAGGGATCGTGAGCACAGTGGCATCGAATAATAGAGGTTGTTGTAGGACAACAACGAAAGGATCTACAAAATCAGCAAAAAGGAAGAAGGAGCCACCAAAAACCCTAAAGGGGATCACTGGTATAAATAGAACACTGTTACCCTACCATAAAAGGATCTTCTTCCCCGTTGCACCCTCGAGTGCTGAAC